AGTGAATTTGGTCAAGAAGTTCAATGAAGCAAGTATCAAGAGAAAACGCCGCAACCAGCCCACCAGACGAGGGTCAAGCAAGAAAAGGAGACCACAACCAGCACCGCCCAGACACTGGTCATTTGCGAAGCGAAGTAACAAAATGCAAAAAGAAGAGACGGAAGTGCAGGAGCAGGGAAGAGGAAGAAGGTGAAAGTCGAAGTGAGATCAACGTTGCTCTTGCATCATCCAAATATTGGCGGGCTGCCCCTAGAGATAGACTCTCCCTCCTGAAAGAGAATGTTGCTATATTCAGCAAAATGGAAGTCAAGCTCAATGAAAGTTTTAGGTAGGTCAATACGGCATGCGCAAGAAAAAGTGAAACTTCCCTCTGGTATAGTTTGAGTGTTCGCCCTGCAATGACCTCGCGGCGTGTCACAGCTAGTGCTTGAACCGCCGACTGGGAGCGTCGGCAAAGTTCCACTTCGAGATCGTCCGAAGGTGAATGGGCATTGCCTGAGACATCAGGATCAGGGCGTGAATCCGGCGCAGGAGTCGATTCAAGCGAGGGGACTTGCCTCGGCCCTTTGAGGTGGTAAAGAAACCAACCTGACTGTCCGTGACGTTGAAGAAACGGGTTCCCAGCTGCGTCAGGTCACGGGCGACGGAATTCAACCAGGAAAGCTGACACCTCCAAGACATTGATGTGCTGCGGGCGCTTCCACGGGAACGAGAGGCGTGTCTCCCACCGCCACTTGAAGGCAGGGTAGGGCGCCATCAAAGTAAGCGACCCATCCTCTGCAGTTGCTTCGAACTGGACCTCAGTCCCCCAAATGCAAATCTCTCGTAGCAATCCTCGGAGACGTCGCCTCGTGTCCAGGGCGCATTGTCCGCAAGACTCGCGTGACTTTTCATCTGCAGCTGCATTGGCCACATCAGTCCTTTGCATGCCTCGGGTTGAACGTTTCAGCGCAGCCAAAATGGCTTCTTTTGGATAAGACGGACGAATCCCGTGTGGCACACTAGTCCGCTTTGAGAAGGCCTGTTTGAGAGCAGCTGCATATAGGCCTGGCATAGGCCCCATGCATACTCAGCTTCCATCGCTGTGTCAAACCGAAGTTCCCCGTCTTCATCGTGGACTTCATAGGGCAAGAGGCCCTCATGTCCCGGGCACGTTGGCCGATGAAGCGCTGTATGCAACTCCTCAATGTTGTGCAAAAGACTGGCCCATTTCGTCCTAGCACCGCCGTAGCAGCATGCTGAAAAGTAGGTGTGGAACACGTCATCCCTTGTAGCAAGCTCAATGGCCTCCGGGGTTGACCAAAGGTGAGAAGCGTAGGGGTCAACTGGCCAATGTAGGGTAAAGTCTCCTGCGACCCAGCAATTGCACCCATGACAGCGTTAATGGGACACAGGATTGAGATGAAGCGTTGACACTTGTGCGCCTTGCCGTCGATCACCTTTTCATGAACACACCACCTGCGCCATTGGTTATGAGGTGGCCCTGCCTGTCCCACGGGACGTTGGTGTCATCCACTGGCTTCATCATTCCTCGTTGATGAGCTGCGTGCACTATCTTGAACCATTCTGCATCACTAGCCCGCGCGCGGGAACGAATGCCCTGATCTGGCATCTTATCTGACGGTAGCAGAAGCTTCAAAGGCTCTGCCAACGCCTGTCTTGTTTCCTCCTTGAGGAACGCCTCAATGGGCTGAATTCCTGCTGACCTGGCCTTGGCCACGCAGGTAGGACCTGCTCACAAATCAGATCCTCCGTGAGGAATCAGAAAGCGTGGCAGAAGAGCTGATGGGCGACCTAGCTGGATGTTCAGCCAACTTGCATCAACTGGATGTAGATGAGTGTGAAACAATTCGTGAACGGTCGCTCATGGTTAGAGAGCTTTACAAGCAATCACCCACCTTTGAAGACTTGGGAAAACATTTGTACGCCCTGATGTTGATGAGTCCTACCCCGCTGGGAAACTTTGTCCGCTCGTATTGCACGGCTGCGCAACCCCCCATCTCTCTCACTCAGAAGCGGGGTTCTTCAGGTGATTTGCTGCCAATGTCTTTTCCTTTTCCTTTCCCCTTCTCCGATTGGTCGCCCTTCCGCGTGGGGAACGAGCGCCACTGCTGCCCGGCTATCAGGAGCCGCATCTTCTGATCTGTGGCTTGTTCCTTGGTTGCCATCAGCGTCTCGTCCTTTCCCACGAGGTTCACTCCCTTGGGAGGGATCAATTCCAGATGTTGAGCCCGGCTCCACGCCTGGTCGGCTATACAGCTCCATTGACTTGATCCTCTGTGCCAACAGGTCGCCTGCTGACTCGGCGTTTCCCGTTGCTACCAGGGCTTTGCACAACGTCCTCGGTTCTCTGTTGGTGCGAACGTTCATCTTCTTGCGATATTGCGGGACGAGCATTGTCAGAAAGTACGAGGCGGCGATTGCCGGAGTCAGATTTCGCTCGGTCTTTGAATGCATGGGCCCCTCCTGCCGAGCTAGGGTTTCTTGCATCCTTTGCAACAGCCTCGATGATGCCAGGCGACCCGGCGTTGCTCCGAGTACTCCTGAAGCTGAAGCTGACGAGATTTGTTGGAGGGGCCCGCCCGAAAATCCGACCCTGAGTCCTCATCATCCTCATCGGACGATTTCGACACTGACTTGTCACGGGCGAAGTTGACACGGTGTCCAATTCCAAAAGGCCCACGATCCGCCTGTTTTGCCTTCTTGCCAGACACCGCCCCCTTTTTCAGGCTTTTTGCCTCCCTTACCTTGAGCTTTCGCGGCGCCGCCTGTGGATCTACTGCTTCATCTTTATCTTCACGAACCTTCCCCGTCGGGAAGACACCATCACTGCTCGAAGCCTCCTCATCAGACAGGGGTTCCTTTGCTCGCCCAAGCCACCGGCTCAGGGGCTTTGGTGCGCTTCTTGGCCTTAGGCCGGGCCTCCCGCTCCGGTTCTTCAACCTCAGGGTCAACCCTTTTCTTTTTCTTTGGCGCTTCACGTGCTTCATCACCTTGACCTTCAGTGCCACCGTCTTCCTCAATGCCGCAAGCCGTCCTGGGATGTCCTCGCGCGGGCGCATCCTCTGCCTCAGGCCCACGCTCAAGTTCCCAGTCCAAAGGCCTGGCTTTCCCACATCGGCCACTCCACCGTGTGCTGGATCATAAGCTGGTGCTGCACCTGCAAGCACCGCAATCTCACCGTCGATGTCCTTCTTGGTGGCACTCTCCCCAAACCAAGCGACCTTCCTGGCGATTATATCACCTGATATCACCTGATGGGATGTCCCTGAACGTGTCCGAGTGGAACTCCTGTGCACGGTGTCGCTTCGTCTTGCGACACTCGCCCGCAGGTGTTGCACACAAGTGGACCACAAAGTTGCGTCTGAATTCCTTGCCTGGGCCCTTTTCGATCCACCACTGCAAGTGTTCATCTGTGGCCGCAACTAGTCGAGCTTTGAGCCAGAGGCCTTCCTTTTTCTTCTCAATGATGTGGTCCACTTGCAACAATGCTGTACCTTGTCGTTCACCATCTCCATCGAACTGTTCAAGCTCTATATATCCACCCTCCACCACGGTCAGTTCCCGGAAGTAATCCAGGTTCCGTGGGAGGTGGATCAGGTCCATGGTCCGGGCATCCCGCCCGCAGGCGATGCCTCAGCCTCGTGAGGCACCCCACACGACTTGAGAGCAAAAAGGCAAATGAGCATAAACTCGTGCTATCACTGCGTTCCAAACACTCGTGGCAATAAGTTAAGTAACAAAAAGAATCATGTGGTCGTCTTGTACCGTGGCAAGGGCCTTCAAGGTGCTCTCGAGAAAATGGAGCCCGTGCATGGTCCGAGCGGCGCTTTCTGCCAGAGCCTCAATTGGCGAAACGACTGGATACAACTGGGGCCACTGGCTTATCTCAACTTGTACATCTGAGTGGCTGCGTTCTGTAGCTGCATATAAACGATTCCAGCCTGCAATAGAAGCGCAGGAAAGAGGGAAGGTGGGCCAAAAGATGTAGAAGGTCGTATTGAACCGTATCTGAGACTCACCAACACGCAGACTTGATTGTCTGCTAGAATGGTGCTGTACAGGTGTAACAATATGTCTTCCGGTTGGGATGCCTTTCCGGATGCTTCCCAGGCTTTCTGCACAGCATCGCCCCCCAGCTCTTTGTTATAGTCCTGGCAACTCTCGAACTCAATATCCGAGCAAAACATGTATAAACATGTTTATTTTCCACACAAAAAAATCGAGCGCGCAGATTGCGCAAGAGCTTCCAAGAGCTTGGAAGAGCTGCTTCGAAGAGACGGCGGAAGACTGCCGTCGACGGCGGTCGACGCCAGTCCGGAAGGGTCTTCACGGTTGGATTGAAAAGGTCGGCAAGGTACTTGCAAGCACCTTTGCCTGCAGCGGAGAGCCGGCAAAAGCGGATGAATGACGGTCGGTGCGAAAAGAAAGGTCGGTGAGGATTGTAGGATTACCCCAACGGGACATAACGGCCTGGTGGAGATCCACACACCAGAGAAGGGTAAAAATGGAAAAGACAGAAAGAAAGATAAGAAAGCACCTTTGACGCTGAGATCTGGAAGACTGCTGATCTGCAACAGCGACCTGAAGCATTTTTTGTGGCATACGCAGAATCTGTGTGGCAAGAGGCTCTGCAGAAAACCCTCTCTCCAATGCAACTTGATTTGGCCCCTGGCGAAATGTTGGGATCTTCTTCCTTATCTTCACCCTGGTCAGATCGAAGTTGCTCCAGTCTTGGCATGTCTTGGCTCACGGGGACTCGCTTGGAATCCTTCTCGTCCCCCGTTTTCGCCTGTCGCATGTCTGCCGCCCTGCCCTCCATTTTCTCCCGGGTCCTGAGCCACCACCACTCGCCGGGCATCCCCCTTGCTCCTGAGCGTCCGTCCCGTGCTCGCTCGGTGTTTGGACGGCATCGGAGCCGGGGACCCCCGCTCGCCGTTGGACCGGGAGTCTGAGCGTGAGAGCGACACAGAACGCCGTGCCCTGCAGCGGGAGACCGATGAGAGACTGGTCTTTTGTTTGTTTGGTTCGTGTGGTTAAACAAGAAATGGCTGGTCTTTAGCCGGAAAAGGTGGTGGGTTCTTCGGATGCAGCATCGGTAGTACAAGAACTACCCATTTGAGCTCATCTCAGCTGAGAGAAAGGAAGAACAAAAACAGAAAGACGAGGCCTGCGGCCTCTGTCTCCTTGTGGATCAGCACCTGCCCACCGTTTTTTTGCTTGCGCAAACGCGCTTGCACAGAAGAGAGCTCAACTTGACGGCACCTGCCTACAATATCAACTCCCTCCGGAGCCGCTCCATCTTCACCATCCTGGTGGATCTTCACCACTTGGTGCCGTCGGTCACATGTGACCGTCAGGGGTGGGATCTGTCAGACGTCCCTGCCATGCCCCCGCCTGCGCTTGTGACCTTGGAGAATAGCTGTCCTCGCGGAAAACGTTCGAAACAGGTGAACGATCTTCACTCTACAGAAATGTAGACTCTTGAGCCCCCCATATATAATGTGATTCATCATCTTCCTAACACAGAGTCACATGCGGCCAATGCTGAAGCATCCAACACGATGATTTGGACCAGTTTCCCTCGCTTGGTGCCAAAGGGCGCAACAAACTCGTGTCACAAGGCAATCGGTACATCTCTCCAGAGCAGTCACACACCGAACACCTACAGTTTTCTTGACGGAGTCCGCTTCCGCTCATCATCTGATTCTCTCCTCTCCTATTCCAGACATATCATCCACCACTCGAATTTCATCCATAATATTCCATAATATGTTGAACGCGTCCCCATTGCTTACCCATGTCATCCTATAGTTCAAGCCTCCAAGAACATCCAACAACCCAACATGGGTGTCTTAAAATGGGGAGAGCTCGCAGGCTTTCCGACCCCCTGGCAGGGTAAATAGACTCGACCGGTCTCCCCCATACAAATTGCTACGTGCCATGATGTGCCATGTCCATCGATACACTCTGCGCCAAAGCCAGTGCTTTCACACCTAAGGCTAGCTCGGTCTATCATCCAACCCAAAAAGAATATCCAAGCTTGCCAACGAGCGAGGGTTCATATGGGGATGGGTCAAACCTGGAGCCCGACCAGTCCACCATTTAGGCGAACGAGCTCCGTATGCTCAACCAAGGTCTGGTTCTGCGCAGCCACGGCTCCAACCCAACACGCTCCGTACCGGTCCGCTGATCTGCTTCGATACGACCGACTTCTGGATCGCTCGTTCTCGGAGCCCGAGCCCCGCTGGGTCCTGCGGGTCAACAGTCCCGACGTCGCGCGCGGGTACGGTGTGGTTGATTCAAAGACAGAAGACAGAGAGAGAGAGAGAGAGAGAGATGTCAAAACATTAATACATGAGAATCACTGCGTTTTCATAGCATCGATTCAGAAGAAAAATCACTGCAGACACAAAATCGACACGAAAAGAACATGTTTGCTGCCTTGGTCTCCAATTCGGGCTAGCCTTGGGTGTGTTCCCGCACTGGCGTCGGCGCACAGTGCTGAGACAGCTCGGTGGGGACATGGCACATCATGGCACATGGTACTTTTGGTGTGTATTCTAATAGGAAGACCCAACATCACCATGGCCCAATGGCGTAGACTTACTGTAATGATCTCTTTCCCGTTTCCCGGAACCCAGGGGGTTGGAACGCCAGTGAGGTCGGTCTCCCTATTGGCATACACACCCATTTTCTTGGTGGATAGAGCTCCTCACAGCTTCACGGCCGTGCCCCTCCTTCAGGCGAATGCCCTGAGAGGACGAGGCGACCGAGGAACTCACTCGGTGCGACGAGTTGAGACAACACCCTAAGAACGGAGAAGATATGACAAAATCAACATAGCAACATGAAGACAAATCCCCACATCAGCTTCACATCAGCTTCACATAGCTGAACCCTTCTCGTTTCTTTGTTTACCCCACAACCTGCGGCTCCACGTTCTCCGTGCATGCCGCACGTGACGAACAAAAACGCACGTCCGCGGCTGTCTGTCTCCGCGCGGTTCGGCTATCGGTTGGGCGAGGACCAAAGAGCATCGTGGTCACGACGTGGCGTGGGAGGATGCGCCGGTGTCCTTTTTTTTGTGGCGTCGTGGGAGGTTTGTTCTTTTTCGTGGGCGCCAGCAGAGTGGATTCCTGATGTGATTCCTGAAGACTTAGGACCTTTCGTGGCAGGTGCATGCAGGTGCAGGAGATCGGGCATGCTTCGGCACATTTCGTGGCAGCTGCAGCGTGTCAGTGGCAATGAGTTATGAGAAATCCGTCAACCCTGAAACTTTGATGTGCCGCTGTCAGATTTTGTAGCAGGCGCGGCACTTGGTGGGCCTCCACCTCCACCACCATCACCACCCCCACCACCACCCCTCAACACTGTTTGGGGTACAAATCTGGGAGCTCCTTGTTTTCTTTCAAAGTTCTTTGAATCTCCTTTCGTTCACGTGCTATCTGACGCCATGCGGCCTGGCCTGATTCTGCAATCGCTCTCGTGCTTTTCCGAGCTTAAACATGGCAACCTCAGAAGAAGTGTTTGTCCAAATTCAGAACAGATGCATTTATATGATTAAAAAAGAATATGGGTTTACCTTTTGGACTTGGGCAGCAGCGGCACTGGGGTTCAATGTCCTACAACAGAAATCTGATGCAATCTTGTGCCAGCTATAATTGTGTCCAATGGTTCAAACAAGAAATGGCCTGCCGTCATTGGTGGGCTTGATCTGCAAATCTGGGCAGGTTTCCAGCACAGCTGCCTGGAACGTTGAGCTGCTCTTCCAAGAAGAGTTTGGCCGAGGAGTGGAAATCTGCAAGACTCAAGAGAAACGGAAGGTTTGATGAATGAGTTGCAAGCTGAGTTTATATAACAATATATAACAATGATATAATGCGGATGCAAAGAAGGAATCCTGCAATTCAAACAAGCACACTCTTGAGCACTGGAGATCAGTCTTGCCTGAACAGGTTGAGGAGAATCTCGAAAGGCCTGGGAAACTTGAAAGAGCAAGCAAGAACCCCCAGAACAGAATGTTTAGGTAAAGGCAGTAAAGGAAAAGGATACATACGAAACAATGTGATTCTGTTTCTCAATGATGTTTCGCAAAACTTCCTTGGTATTTCGTTGCTCCGCACTCCCCACTCGGCTGCCCAAGCACCTAACATGCAACTCCCCAACACCCCACCGGCTGGACTGCCCGGAAACGCCTGTATGCAACTGTCGTCCAGATTGTTGATCTGGAAGAACCTCACCGTTCGTCGCTTTGATATATTTCCTTCGACAACACACAGACCCTGACCTTGTCGGTCCAAGGTCATTCGATCCACCTTCTGTCTTCTCCAAAAAACAACCAGCTCTTCCATTCGGATTCATGTCCACTCAATGGCTGGTGGGGATCCATCCATCTGCCTTCGGGTTTTTTCACGTGTGTCCCACGGCCACACGCTGAGGGCCAGTGCCGTTCCAACATCTTTTGATGCTCTTCTGGACTGATGCGTTTCCCTGCAACACACAGACGTGAAACTTGGCATCGAAATCTTCCAACATATCCTTGCACTATCCAACCTCCACTTATCGACGCGATGAAGAATCGAAGCGAGTTTCTGTCTGACCACAATCAAAATAGAGGTCAACATCACACATCTGTTAATATCTGCTATTCTGTGGTTTCTGCGTCAATAGCCTCTCCAACACTTCCATCCTAGCAACCCAGTCAGGCTGCAACCCTTGCACATCCCTCCGATGCCAGGCTTTCTACATGCATCCACAGCCGGACGTATGGCCTGCTCTTCCTCGTCGTACTCCTTGAGATCCTTTGCCTCCTCCACGAACATGCGTTGATCCTTGCAAGTTCACAGCTGGCTGCGGGCTCGAAAACGTCACAATCTTGTCACATCTGCAGATTGATGTTGATGGAGTACTTTTGTCTGCACGAGGGCGCTCGTCTGTACAGGAGGCCTTTCATCCAGTTGGCCATACTTTGCACGCCAACATCAAAGAATCATTTACTCCTACTGTGACTGAAGGGAATCTAAACTGATGTTGAAATAATAAGCTGCTTCCAAGCGGTTGCCACCCTTCAGAAACTTCACGACTCAAAGAAGTTCCTGCTCAAAGAAGCTCAGCTTGAACTTGGTGAGTTTTGCAGTGTCATCACATCATTTGATACATGAATACAGGTTCTACTCCTGTGCATTCGCCAGTGTGCATTCGCGGTGTCTCATGTCTCATCCTTGAGCGCACGCTGCATCAGCCAGGCTGCATTCCGGGTGTGGGACCTTCAGAAAGCGGCTATGGACCAAAAAACATACACAACGGACGCTACTAGGAGCAAAGGGCATCGCTTACTAGGAGCAAGGACGCTACTAGGGGCTCCTGGCCTTGCTACTAGG